TCTGCTCGGGAGGTGAGAGGAGGAAGGAGAGCTGGTTGGTGGCCGTCGACGCAGAGGGGATGCCGGTGCGCGGCAGCTGTTCCGGGGCATTTCCGTCATTTGCAGCAGGGCAATCGAATTTCTAAAATGGAATTACAGAGAAAGAAAGAAAGAAAAATGGAACATAACGCAACTCAATTCCCGCGAGGCCTCTTTGTCTTCTTCTTTTTTTCGAGGGAGGCCTCTTTGGTTTACAGTAATTTATAGGATTTTTATAGAATTTTTTTTTGATCAAAAGGGGTTTCCCCCGCCCCATTTAAAACAAAAAAGAAGCTAGCCAACTCGCTCCTAAGACGTTCCCTCGATGGCAAGCTTCGTTGGCCATTGGATCGTGGTCAGTTTGGTCTTTGGCTTCGTTTGAGCCGTTAGATGCTCGTTGCTCTCGCTGCTCGTTTTGACCACGTGTTAACTTCACATGGCCAATGATGGGTGTGCTCTTGTCCCGTGTCTGTTGGCTGGGTAAGCTGTTTCGAGGTGCGGGTGTGCCCTCTCCCCGCACGCCGCGTGCGCGTCGCGCCATTTGCGGGAGCGTGGGTAGCCATGCCCTCGAAAGCACCTTGGTCCAATCCCATCGCCCCGCACGCCACAACCCCTCCCTCCTTCTTCGATCTCTCTCCCTCCTCAGCCGCCACAAACCCTAGCCCCCTTTCCTACGATCCAGCTGTCGCTACCCCTCCTCCATCCGACCTCCGTCGTCAGCCGCCGCCGCCGCTACGGCTCCTCCGTCCACCGACTCCGTCCGTGCAGGTGGCCAGTTTCCTTCCGCCCCGACCTTCTCCACTGTCTCCCCAGTTCACCCCCACCCCTTGCTGCCCGAGGTGCCCATCTTTCCAGGTCATGAGGAAGCCGCGTGAGGATGTCTCCACGGTAATCGGGGAACCACCACGGCGTGCCGCCGGGGGAAGCCTTGGATCCAGGGGGCCTCCCCGGGGGCGCAGAGGAGGGGGTGTGGAGGCGTGAGGCCAGAAGGAGTTTGGAATCGCTGGAGGAGCACAGCCCGCACGGGGGCTGGTCATCGCCAGAGCAGAGGGGAGGAGGTCGATGCAGGGGACGCCATGTATGGTCGGGGCGCTGGATCTGCCTTTCCCCATGCCACCGCTGTCCTACGTCAACGATGCCGCCATGGCCTTCTCGCCACTGACCTCTTTCCACGAATTTTTGCCTTCAACGCTAAGGTGAAATGACTCTTCCCATCTGACTCTATTTTCAGTTTGTTCTTCCTGCTGCTATTTCTTACTCTTCGGGAGCAGGGACGGTCTGTAGGCTAGCGGTAGTGGAATGGAATCCCCTTGTCCAGTACCAGCCGGTGAAGATGGAAGGAAGCCACGGAACCTCAAGGCTTAGGAACTTTTTGGGATAACTGAGTTGGTCAATGTCAAAAATGGAAAAGGAGAAGGAAATCACCATTCGATTTATGATTGGGCGTAGGTAAGGTTATTGGCATCAAGCTTTATGTTTTATAGAAAAAAGGACTCAACAAAGCTTCAGATTCTTGTTATGTTGTGATTTTGCAAGATCTTTGTAGTTATTTAATTGCTCAACCCAAAAGACGGATTTCACTCAACATATGGTGTGTTATATTACTGATTATTTAGAGTTTTAGACCTATTTAACTTTTGCTAAGAAGAAGTGCACTGGCTCTACTTTGGAATAATGAGATTTGTCGTAATTTCAACACTGGTACTCATGGTGGTTTCAGTTCCATGGACATTGTGAGAATGGCCACTTTATTCCAGTGTATTATTTCCAGATCTCATGTTTGTCTAAGTCACCAAGTTAATCCACAAGAATTTGTTTACTTTCTTGGCTATTATGGTTAAAGGCATCCTTTTATTAGAGCTATAGTTTTTGGACATGTTCCGGTTTGGTTATTTTTTATGGATTTTGAATATGGTTCAATTTGATCACTTTTGAGACTCAGTTAGAACAGATAAATTTGTTTCTTTACATATAGTTCCTAATTAGAAAAGCCTCATATGTAGGTTGGAGGCATTGGTGTGAAGGTGTCGTGAGTTATCTGCAAGGGCATTGTTGTGACGTGCTCCTCCATATCTCCTGCGAGTTCTTGGTGTGGCGATCATGGCTCTAGATAGCAGCGCTTCAAGGTCACTTAAGCCTGAATGAGTTATCAAGTCTACTGGAACCATTCATGTTTAGGCTTGTTCATTGGTTTTCGAACAGACACTCCCTTAAGTATGTTTGATCACAATTAAAAGGAGGAAGTCAGATTATTGCAATGTAAGTGCCTGAACTCGAAGCTTGATCCACTACCACTTGCTCCTGCCACTGTGTCATAATATCTCATTTTCATATATAAGATGATAGTAACTGAATGATCATATCAGGAGTCCGTTATTGGCAGCCTTGTGAGGTCTTCTTCATAACATGTTCTCCTATTTTTAATGTTTGTATTCTCTTTGTTGCAAGGTGTGGCTGCACGTAAAGTTGTCAAGATGATCTGGTGCTTGCTCGAGCCGTTGATTACTGCTGCTTTGCTAAGGTTCAAGGTAACCCCTTTACCATGATGACTACCAGAGTGACCTTCGATGTGTATAGATGGTGATGCATATGGGGACAGACAAGAACTAGCGAACTTAATATCAGATTCCCTCAACTATGAATTCTTTAATTATTGAAGGCTTTCATATTCATATCAATACAAGGCGGAATATGATGCAGGTGAATGCCTTTATTTTGTTTCTTTACGATCTTCTCCTCTACTTAATGATAGATGCAGTGTATAGGGTCATCGAGTCAGTTTGAATGCTTTCGTGACAACCGGTATAGCACTGAATCAGGCAAGGTGTGAATAAGTGTGCTTAAATGCTTGCTTTGTTTATGTGTTTACTGCTTACTGTGTTGTACAAGTTCCACTTTTGAATCTGCCCTCTTTTAGGCATGTGTATTTCCCACAAATATGTTGGTAAATGTGTGCACTACATAGTTTTCAGGCCAACTGGATTACGAGAGCCTCCTCCCTCTGCCCCTCCTCACTAAGGAGGTCAGATTGATCTAGCATCTTTTCCCCTAATTTAGGGGTCCTCCCATGGCCCCTCCTCTACTCGGCTCTCCTCTGTCCTATTTCTCCTCTATCAAAAATACGAAAACTACCACGAGAAATAAGTGCTGCTTGCTGCTCTTCACTGCTAAATATCACGATGAAGTATATCAAGTGACATCGTCCCAGAAGAAGAGATGAGCAGTCAATATACAAAGAAAAAAATCAGGGCCAATATTTGCATGAATACTAATTCTGGCAACATGTTAATGATTCATAAATAATCTCCCGTTTCCTCTAACCTATGTATGTCTTTCTATATTAATTCATAAAAATGAATCAGCATAGTTCATATTTGATTTCAAGATAAAGAAATTCGAAAGATGTATAAGAGGTGAATCAAATGACATTATTTCAAAGTTGTATAACATATATCATCACTACTAGAAAACATTTTGTAGGAGGCTACATTTAATCTTCTGTACTAAATTCTTCATTGCCTTCCCATGATGGTTGGAGAGGGCAGGCCTGGCGCAGTGGTGAAGTCCTCCCCACTTGTGCCAAGAGGTCCTGGGTTCGAACCAGCCTCTCTGCATTGCACTTCGCAGGGGTAAGACTAGGTTCCTATAATCCCTCCCCAGACCCCACCTTGTGTGGGAGCTTCTATGCACTGGGTCTGTCCTTCCCATGATGGTTGGAGTACAATTCTCACAGGAGGTCCCGTTAATGTTATATTTAGAGGGTGTCAAGTTTAGACCATCGTGCCTACGGTAACATTTCATAAAATCCACGCTAATCTTATGTGGGGCTCAAGTCGGATATCTAGGGTAGTTCTATTAATTCCTGAATGGTTGCTCGGGTACCAATGAATTTATTTATTTATTTTTCTTCTTCTAGCTGTTGTCAAATACTTAAACATTTCCCTTTCATACTATTTTAGATTTAAAATGAGAGTTGCCATTCTCCAACAAGTATAGTCGTGGGTTAGTTGTTGACAGCTCAAGTGTAGTGTACATCAGTTACACATGAATAGATTGCTTTTTAGTGTATTGCACCATTTAAAAGGAAAACTTATTACACTAATGTCATTCTCCAGTAAGCATAGTTGGATCCAACCTGATGTTGTTAAATGCTCAAGTACTTTCCTTTCATATTATCAATTACACCTGACAGGTTGCTTAAGAAGGTGCAGTACACTACATCGCTACACTCTATAGTAATGGATTGCTGGAGAAGGGTGCAGTACACTGATGCCATACTGTGTTACACTGGTGCCATTTCCAAGCTAGTTCAAAGCCATTATTATTCCTCAGATGGCGCA